AACAAGTGAAGGCATACAGTATGACAGAACATTAAATGTTCTACAAAACGTACTATTTCCTTTTCGTTCTTTCTTTTGTTAGAAAAACCTACTTTTCTCTCAATAAATCATCTAGAAACAGGTTTTTTGTCGACTTTTGATGGGTTTATCTCGGTGAGTTATTGAGATATCGAGCTGAGATTCTCTGTGGTAGTGAAGCAAGTGATAAGCGATAAAACAAAAAACAATTTTGAAATCCAAAAGTACGACAAAGACTCGATTGTACAATAAAGTTACAAATGACTCATGTGTATGTGTCAATCTTTCTCTTTCTTTAACCATACATCAGTCTACATGAACAACCTTTTTCTTTATAGAACAGTTATCCCTTTCTTTTTGTTCTGATCATATTTCTTTTATCCCGTAATTTTTTTCGTCTTCGCTTCATTGCATAGTATAATAAAGCTTTAAGCTGAATAAATCTTTTCTTATCTCGGAGATAAGAGAGGATTTATTTACATTTGTTTCCCTCTCTCTATGCAAGATGCCACTGTTGACTTTAGAAATAAGTCATGATAACGGAGGTGAGTAATACTATAAATATAATTTTTTGGTAAAACTTTTTCTTTCTGTAATATTTTTACTGACAAAACGGTATGTCATTACTCATTTTTTTTTGCATTTCTCTCCTTTCTATAGTGCTGTGAACAACGTTTTGCTCTACCATGAATCAGAATGACTGACACGTCATTTCTCTCGCTTATTGATCAATCTAACTCATGAATATATAAGCAGACCGTCTCTCACTTAGTTTTCAGTTAAACTAGTCTTTTATTAAACGTGCTTATAGAGAAGAATAAATATGCTCCGTGTTCAGAATCAACCGACAAAACACATTCCATTGAAACAAGTCAGAGTCCAAGCTAAAATTCACTCCTTTGCCGCTGATGTGACAATTACACAACTGTTTCAAAATAATGAACAAACATCGATTGAAGCTGTCTACTGCTTTCCAATTGAAGAGAATGCAGCTGTCTACTCATTCACAGCTAAAATTGATGAGCGTGAAATCATTGCACAATTGAAAGAAAAAAAGGAAGCTCAACGAGAGTACAGTGAAGCATTGCAACAAGGTCACGGTGCTTACCTGCTAGAACAGGATGAAAAATCACAGGATTGCTTCGTCATCAATGTCGGTGCGTTACCACCGGGCAAGGAGTGTGAGATCAGAATTAGTTACGTAACAGAATTGGATTTAGTTAGCGGTGGCAATAAAATCCGTTTCGTCATTCCAACCACCATTGCACCACGTTACAATCCAAACGAAGGAGCCATCTCTTCAACAGTCGCTGGCACAACATCTCAATACGTTCAACAGACACCGTACACACTTGAGTTTGAATGCAAAATCGACAAGCTGAATCAGCTAGTA